TGTTTACAGTTCACCTCTCAGGAAAACTTTCCTGATTCTACACACTAGCTTAAGTCTCCCTGGTTTGTACTCTCAGAGCATCCTGCTGTAGACTCCAGTTTTCCATTAAAACACTAATACCACTTTTCTGTATTTGCTGAATGTTGCCTTCCCTGGCAAACTGTAATGTCCTTGAGGGACTGGGCCTGTTCTGGGTACAACTCTGTCACCACATACTACTATAGCATATGGAAGACAATAGGGTTAGTGAATTTAGTTGTGTAGGGGTGTGGATTTGCATGTGAGTGAGTGTGTGTTTGATTTGGCACTTGATCAGGTTGCATTAGTTAATTGTGAGCAAATTAGTACATTGTGCCCAGGGTGCTTACATTTCTGTTACTAAGCTAATGATGAGCAAAAAACTAAGAACTACTTCCACCATTGGGGATTCTTAAAATGCAAGAACCTTTAACCCTAGCAAAGAAAAGAATGATACCTTTTCTCATTTATACCCCCATTAATAATAAATTTGTATTAGTTTCTCTCTATGTTTAACTGTAAAACAGGCTATAAAGCTCAAATGAGAGAGTAGTTTCACAAACAATATATGAAATAAAGAATAGAATTAGCATAACTATAACTCATACTTAGAGATAATTTATCAGTATTAATTATATCACATGTTTTCACTATGTTGTATATATAAGCAAATGAAATTTATTTTTTAATTATTTATTGTATAGTGGAGGGAGAAAATAATATAAAAAGTATGTTGGAATAGATATTAATTAATAAAGGAGATAATTTAGACCATAATACTTGTACTTTATTTAATATTGGTAATAATTGCAAATATTATAATACTGTACTAAATGCTTACAATAATGATTTAAGTAGCCAACAAGAATATTGAAGAGGCAAATAATTTCCTATTCCTGTTCAAAGTATATTAAACATTGGTTGACCAATATCTTTAAGTATCGATCAATTAGGAGTACACAGGAGCTCTAATCTGAAAATGTGAAGGACTTCTATGGATTTTATTGCACTCTTCAAGAGACAGGTAGTACTACATAACTACTAAGAAAAATGCTTCAGGCAAATTAGTACAATGTATCAAAAATTCAGTACAGGTTCACTAATAACAGAAAATATAAATAAGTAATTTGAAGTAACATTAATGGGATTTTTACTATAAATGTGAAGATGTGAATATATGTGTACATCTATACAACTATATTTAATGAATTCAAAAATGTGTCTTCACTGGCTAACTAAAAACTAGTATAGCATAAAATCACTTTTCACTACCCATCCTCTCTGTTTTGGCAGATTCACTTCACTGAGGTTTTGTGGGAGAGTCTGAGTTATTTCTACAACATTCATGAATTCTCCAAAGGGAAAATTACTTACAAAGAAAGGCAAATCTATCACAGGTAAATAAATCAATGAAGAGGGCAACACACAGGAAAATTTTGAATTATTAAATTCTCTTTGTATTTAATATCTCTTATTCTTTCTAAGTGGCATCTTACTGGGATACACTGAATTAAAGGAAACAATAGCAACTTCTTATCTGACATCTATAAGCAGAATTGTCTCTCCATTTTCATGGGGAGTCTAGATAGGCTGCTTTGGAGAGACACTCAGATACTAATTCCAAAAATAACTTAAACACATCCATTTCATTCCAAACCTGAGACTTCCTATATTGATAATTTTATAGAAATGATATAAGGTAAGTCAATAAGATAGACATTTCAAAGAGGGGGTAGGATCAAGGGTGGGAAGTAAGGATTGCTGGGTAAGATTGGGGATTAGATACAACTGTACTTGAACAACAATAAAAAACGTTTAAAAAAGCTCTTAAGCTCTAAAGAAATTAAAGCAACAAAAATAAAATTTCCCAAAGAGAAGTAAGAATAAAAAAGACTACAGATTTGATCATTTTACTGTGGTAAACTGAATTGTTGACCTCAGTTATTTACCACTCCTCATACCCGTATCTTTGCCATGTAACTTTGTAGTTTCACATAAAAACAGACATTCCCCTACCTACTGGATACAGTCTAAAACTTGCTTTTGACCAATAGAATGAGGGCAGAAGGATTTAATAGTTCGGCAGAAAATCTTAAGTGGCATTGTGGTTTCTACTTATCATCTTGCTCTCCTGACATTGCCATGAGAAGAACATGAAAGGCATGTAGAGAAGAACTGAGCCTAATTCACAGTGAGGGCAAAGCCTCACTAGATACCATATCTGATCTTATAACAAAAGCCACCTCAGCATGTCCAGCCTGAATCAGCCATCCCCCACTTGGACCCACATCCATGGAATAAATAAATGTTATGTTTGAGTGCCACTGAGATTGTTGTGGTTATTTATTATACAGCATTACTGTGACTATAGCTTACAGATATTCTTATAAATTAAAGTGAGCAAAATGGGTATGCTTTCACTTTCAAGGAATCTGAAAAAATATTTTCCTCTTCCTGAGATTGATTGTTCATTCATTTACCAGGAAAGTCAACAAATTCACAACTGACTGATGAGAGTATTACATCTAGTCAGTTCATTCTAGGTTGGCCAATGACTTACTTTTTTCCTTACTAACATGCAAACAATTGCATTAATTTTTGAATGTTTACCCTTATCTCTCATGTATTGAAGAATCAATGACTGTTGGACCTCATATTTAAACTTGTGTAATTAAATTAGGTCAGTGGTTCTTGAATTGTTCTTCAAGGCCCATGATTCTAAAGAGGTGTTTGGAGGGCATAGTAGAAGCAAAAGAAAGCTAAACAGTTGGAGTGCTAACCTACCAAGCAACAAAACTCTTTTTTGATCTGTTTTAGATATTGAGACTTCACATGGACCGTCAGTTTACTATTTAAAAATTAAAGTTAAAAACCACTGAACAAAATGTTCTTTAAAGTCTTTTCATACTGAAAACTCCATCATTACATTTTTTAGCATTTTTTAAAAATTTTATTTAGTTATTTTTCAAGTACAGTTTTTTTGTCTATTTCTCCCATCCCAGCCCGCCCCCTGCCCTGTCTCCCCATCTCCCTCCCATTTCCTCCCATCCATCATTACATTTTTGACCACTCCTTTTTCTTTTTTGCTATTACCATGACCCTAATTTAAGATATCATCACCTGAACTCCTGTGAGAATTTCCTAACCTGACTCCCTGCTTTAAAGTTATAAATTGTGTCATTTCACTCCCCTGCTTAAAACTAGAATAAAACCACATTTAGTTAGGCCTCACCTTTTTCTTCACTCTCATGCCTCCTTTCCTCATCTTTCATACTGGATTAAAATGCACCCAGTTCCTTCCCACCTCAGAGTTCTCTCACATGTGGTCCTTTGACTCTTCCCCTACTTTTCAAATGTTGACTCCTTTAAATCCCTCAGTTCTCAGTTTATAAACCATCCTCTCAGAGAGGCTTTCTCTGATCTACGAAATTAACATAGGTGATTTCTGTCCCCATTATTCTCTGTAACAGCACACTGTTTGTTCTCCTTCATTTCACTAACCATGACTTAGTTAAGGGAACATCTGTTGGTTGCTTATATTTTCTGATTTTTCATTTGAGTATGAGCCCCATGTGGCAAGGGCCAATGTATCTGGTTTATTTTTTAATTCCAAGGACCCAAAGTATTGCCTGGGACATAGTATTTGCTCAATATATGAATTAATAAATGACTTGCTTAGCTTTTATTATATTTTTTTCCACTACCCTTCAACACGATACAGAATTTCCATATAAAGAAGTGATCTCCACATCTGGCATACTTATACCTGCCTTGAACCTTCTTCATTTCATATATAGTGTTCCTTATACTCCTGTGCATTAGAATTTTCTATTTCAAGTTGTTTTATTTATCATAATTCTCTCTTATTTTTTAAAATGCCAATGGCCATTTTTTGATGTGTTCTCAGACATTATTGTGAAGCTGATCCCAAATCTTAGAACTATAATATACCTAGAATAAAATTAACAATGCAACTATTCAATAAATGAGAACTGAAACCTGTAAAAGTACATGTATGCCATTTGACTGCAGTGACTGAGGAGTTTGGGGAATACCCAAATTTCAAGCAAGGTGAATGGGATATAGTTTCAGGAAAATTGTGACCAAAGTTATATCCTAGCTAATTTCATTATCCTCTGTCATAAGAAAAGAAAAAACTAAGTGTATAGTTTGTATATACTCTACAATAGATACATAATGAACAAGAACATGGAGTGTTTTCCCAGAAATTCTCAGAGTAGAGACAAAAGATGTGAGGAATGGTCATATTATAGTCACTAGAGAAGTAAAGCCTATGGATGATAGCAAGTTATTCATCAGCTCTTGCTACAGTCCGAGTGCTCTGAGAGTAGGCAGGTACTAGGTTTCTGGCTACAAGGAAAGAGAACAACCCCAAGACATATAAAGTTGCCATTTTGGCATAGGCCAAAATTCTTTGGTGAGTGTGTTTGATATGAGTCAAATTACAAGAATTCAACATATTTTCAGTTTACTGAAAACACTTAATTTATTGATCTACAAAACTAAGATAAATACCTTTTCTAAAATAATAATTTGGAAAGAAAATGCCTTGGCCTGAACAGTCAGTAACCTCCATTGGACACCACCTCCAATTGAGCCTAACTTTCTTCCTCATTCTCATATGAACCACGTGTAATTTCATATTTGACACATTATATAGCTGCTGGAAATAACATAATGTACTTTTGTGAATACATGATTACAGAACATAGAGTTGAGTAACATGAGCTTTTCACTGTCACCAAAACAGCCAGACATTTGTTAGAGCAAAGACACAATTCTGTAGCTTCAGCATGCATTTCAACTTTTATCCAAAAGTTGCGGATTTGATTTCAACTTTTATCCAAAATGAAAACTTGGGACAATGTCTCAACAAGTTGTTTGAGGGATCATGAGCTACCTGTAGCAATCAGCATACAATTTTTAAGGAAAATGTAAATAAAAAATAAAAAATTTCAAACGTGGGACTGATATCTTTCCCACAGTCAGAAGTTTTAGTTCCATAATGAGGCCATTGTGTAATATCTTGAAATGTAAAAACAGACTGCAAAACAAATCACAAAATAAAGTTATCTTCAGTCTCAAGCCACCAATTCACTCCATTAAAGAAAGATATTGAAAAACACAAATTGCTTAAAAATTTTAATAGTAAATATTTGATACAAAAAAATGGTATTGAAAATATTATTTGCTCCTAAACACAGGGTATGATATCTCCATTTCATCTATTTATGATCCTCTAAATATTAAAGCTTCACCTCTTTCTATACTACTTCATAGCAGGCTTTGGCCAAGGTCAACTGCAGGAAAGGCCAGGAGGAGCCAAACCTGTAACAGAGTTCTGCCCTGGAGTAGCACATACACTCCTGGCAATTGATTCAGGAAGATGTGAGGAGTCAGTCCAGTATGAAAGGTGAATCAGAGTATCCAAAAGGCCCAGTGACTTCTTGAAATGGACAGATTCAAGGCTTCTGTGACAATCAATGAGCAGAGCCAGCTGACAAGGACCCCAGAGTAGGCCCAGGTCAGAGGCCTGAGCAGGAAATTGAAGCCAGAGATGTTTTCAGTGGTCGTAAGACCTTAATCATAAGACTGGGTCTCATAACTAGGACTCCACTATCCTACAGTCAGTGGAGGATGGTGGAAGTGGGAGGAGACAACTGAAAAAAAGAGCCACAGACCTTATCTTGAAGGGCTGATTAGAGTTTCATGCATGAGGACCAAGGGAGGTATTTGGGGTCCCCTCAAGGACTCAAGGTAGACTTGGTCTCAGGGTTAAGATTCAAGACCAGTTACTAGGACCACAATAATCTTTCAGTGTGCCCAACCAGCAGAAAGGTGACTTGATGCTGAATTACTTGACCACAAACCAAAGCTACTCAAATCCTTGGCATAAAGAGGCTGTAATTTCTCCTATGGAATGGACAGGAAAATAAATTCTGCCAGGGTTTGTGCCCCCCAACTGTAGGAAGAGGATAAGATGAAGGCACGTAATCAGATTATACACATAAAAGTTAAATTACTACAGGGAAAATGTTCTGTATTCCCACAAATAAAAAATGCTACAGAATTGTTTTCTTTTCCTTGTTTTTTAACAGCCAGAGGCTACCTGGGTATACTGTTTCAAAAATCAAAAAAATTTTCCATTTACTATTACTGTATCTTCAGCGAGCTATATATGGGTGGTTTACACTGTGTTTCACCTGCAGTATCTGCCAATGTACAGCTTCTCTCTTCCTGTTTTGTACATGGATCTAAAAGACAGAAGTATTTCAGCGGCACAGTAAACTAGTGGACCAAAAGTTCATGCTGACATCCCAAAAAATGGCAAATTGTAATAATGGTTCTCTACTATTTTGAGCTTCAGGTGTAAGTAAAATTTGCATATCCAGACTCTTATACAATATTTTCACAAAGCAAAAGATCGTGAAATACACAAACTAATAAAAATGTCTTCTCACTTGAAAAAATCAGGGAAAGAGGTCAAATATCTTGAACTTTATCTGTTTCTAGTGAGCCTTCTTGTCCCATTATGGAATAATCCACAAAAAAGACAATCTCATGAGTGACTTTATAAGGTTAGGACTACAGCTCTTCTATGAATAAATATTCTGGCTCCCACTATTTTGGGGGGGATGGTCACCAACTTTGTGGATGATATGCTCTTTAAACAACAACCATGTTAGCTCCCCTCACTGAGAATGAGGCCACACCATATGGAGATCCTTTCTAGGGATGCCTTGCCTCTCTTTTGGAATTACCAGCTTTGCACTCAAGAGCTGGCCAGAGAAAATTCTTGCCAGTGTTAGAACTGTGCTATAATTTAATTCTGGTGTGGCTCATTCTCAGCGCCCGCCCAGCACTGCCTCCTCCTATGTGGGGGTGGGGGCTAAATGCCAAAATGAGGTGCTAAATCTCAGTTCTACTGAGGACAGGAACAAAAATACCGAGCTAAATTTCACTCAAAACAATTATCTGCACACTGAATCATTCTTCTATCTCTGTTGCCCTCCTGACTACCTCTTTGTAATAATACTGCACTGCTACTCACAAAAGACAAAAGTGAGTGTTCTTAGCTAAATATAACTTAACTGATAGTGTTGAAATTAATTAATGTGAATTGTAATTATGTAGCAAACGTTAAGTGTCAAACGTGAAAGGGTAGTTGGTAAAGGTCAAGGGACATATGTCAAAGTTTTGTGAAACAAAAGCTAGCAGTTGATTGAAGTTTTTCATGGAAGCAGCCTAAGGAGTATACTTCCTCCAGACCTACCCCCTTTGCTGTCTATATATGCAATTCCCAATATAAAACTTTGTTTTCTATACTTATCAATTCTTTTGCATTGAAAATCATCCTGTTTTAAGCAGATATATAAATTCTTTCTCTGTCTGGCAAAGAAAGCTAACTGCAGTTTCTCATTTGCTGAAGGATTTGTACAGTTACATGACAAATGGGATAGTCAGAGCCCCCATTTTCCAAAAGGACTACCTTATTCATTTGTTTGGCTGCCACCTACCTTTTAATATAAAGTCTGAAGTTGACAAAACTCCATAGTTTCTTCATGAATCGGGTCAGATTATCTCAGAGAACAGCTAAAGCTATGGCAGTGCTGCCCCTGGAAACCCTGCCTAATGACACGGAATCTTGGAAAACTCTCCAGCCTTGTTTGTGGGGCAAGTACTGCTCTGCTTAGTAACATATTTGAGGATCTCAGAGACCAGACAGTCTCTCCGAATTTTAACATAAATCTCTCCTACTACACTTCAGGCATATTTTCTCATCTTAACTTCACTGGAAATGGAGAAAATGGCATTTACCAACATTTATATAACATTTCTTTGGGAATGGTTATTAAATGTTCCTTTTCCTTTTTACATCCAGGCTCAAAACCCCAGTCTGTAGTACCTTTAACCTAGAAATTCACATTTAATGGTGTTTCATTTTTCACTAGCAGTGGAATAGAACTCTAGCTTAGAACCTTCAACAACCATTTTCCCATAGGAAGAATTTCATGCCTAGAACCATAGTTTGGCCATTCACGATATTCTTCATTGCATATTTAGTTATTTTGAAATAAGGCAAGGACCTTCTCTAGAATTTTGTAGTGGATTTTGTCCCTTTTTTCATTATTTTTCTTCTCCCTAAATCTTCCATGGTTTTGTAATTTTTCTAATTTTCACTTCTTAAAATTTCAGAAGCATTTTCTTGACAAGAATAGCATTTTAGACAGTGCACCAAAATCTTTAGTAAAGTATCAGACCTATTTAAAATAAGGCCTCTCTTTCTTCTTCAAGAGTTTTACAGATTGACAGCCTAATGATAGAGTCAAATGGTAATGTATTAATGATGGGGAACAGAGTAAAATGTATACCTTAAAATGATGTGGGAAATAAAAGTTTAAGTGAAAGTAAGACAGTCTTTTTATAATGTCCCATGGCAGGAATGGCAAAAAAAAAGTCCATAATATAGCACTACCAAGAAAAAAACTGTAAAAAATAAAATAAAAATACCCACTGTATAGGCAGCAAAAGTCTTTACAGAATGCAAGAGATCTAGGTCAAGAATATAAGTAGCAAGGCATATTCAGATGAAAACATACAGATAAGAGTGCCAGCATTAAATGACATACACAAGTGATACATATAAAGACCATATCAAATTTATATACACATACACATATTACACATGGATACAGACAACAGTGTGGTGAGAGCCAGAGGGAAGATGGGTGGCATAGGTGGGCAAAGGGAGAATAAATAAGAACAGAAAAAGACTTTACTTTGGGCAATAGATGCATGATGCAGTATGCACGTGATGTTATGTTGAGTTGCACACTTGAAACTTGTATGATTTTCTGAAGCAATGTCACCCCAATAAATTCAGTTAAAAAAAAATCAATGGAATACCATAAATGATATTAACTTAAGATTCACAAAAGAAAACTGATCTATCCATTCACCACGAATAAACACATGATCTATTCATTCAATTTAACAAACATCATGGAGCATCTATATGCTAGATGATATGAAAGGAATGGTAATAAGACAAATGAAGTGCATGCAATTAGAAGAAACAGTAGGGAGTAAGAGACCTGAGCCAATGTATAAGTCATAATTTAAACTCCACAATTTCCAATAAGGAACACATAAGTAATTCTGCCTGCCTCCAGTGGAAGCTGATGGATGTAGGACAAGAAGGCAAGTAAAAGTCTTAGAGCAAAAATGATAGTGAAATATAACATTACAATTAACCATGACAATGATAAACAAAATAGCAGTGGTTGATTATTAAAACTCCTTAGGGTCAGGCATTGAATTAGAAGCTAAAGAGCCATCTCCATTTAATCTGCTCATTAGCTAAACTAGGTAGAAATTACTATAATCTGCATTTCTACTGATAAAGTGATGGAAGCCCAAAGAGGTCAAGCACTTGCCCAGGATTTCACAAATAATGAGTGGCTTCCAGATTCCTCACACTTGAGGACTTAGTAAAAGGAAAAAATGAACAAGCATAATTTGATTTCCAATTACCATAATGAGCTGATGTGGTCAGTTTTGTGAAATAAATTAATAAATTCATTGAAGAATGAAAATCAGTCAAATGAACAGCTTGTACTGCTTGGTACCTTGAAGCTCAATTAGTTAATACACTGAACCTTTCCCTCTAAGGTAGCTAGATATTCTGTCTACCGCAGGCACAAAGGCTGTGAAAGAGAAGGGATTCTGGCCCTAGATAGGCTTGGATTTGGAAGGCACAGACCCAGTGGGTGACCTTGGGCAAGGTAGGTAAGTATTTCAGGCTCAGAACCCTCATCAATGAAAAGGGAGTAATACTACCTCTTTCTCAAGAGTTTCTAAGGGTTAGTGAGATGATGATGGCAAAGCACTAAGCACAGGGCCTATAAATGGCGATTGTTTTCACCACTATCCAAAGACTGGGTTCAAACTGTGGCTCCACCAAGTCCAGTTGTGTGGCTTTGGGGCACATTCATTCATGCAACAAACATATGTTAAATATATCA